CAACTAAGAAAAATGAAAATTCATGCTGTTAGTTTTCTTAATAGCAGTTTTGATAGAACTAATTTATTTACTTGTTTATTTTTAATTTCCCACTTGTAATGTCTTTTATTTTGAAAATAGAGTAGATGTTTAATACATTTTGAGTAAAAACATGAATGAATGAAGCACTGCAAACACGATTAGCTCTTTATGTCTTTACTGAATAGTATTAGTAGCTTACTAAATGTCAGGCACTGATCCAAACACGCCTAATTTCTTTTAATGAGGTAGCTATCATTATCTTCTCCACTTAGTATATAATGAAAATGAGGCCACCAGATAAGTTAAGGACTTGTCCAAGTAACTCAACCAATAATAGGCATAAAGGGATATGGATCCAAACAGTCTGGCCCAGAACCCATTCTATGAACCACTGTATTACATGGTTTAAGGAACTGAAAGCCAAAGGAATTTACTAAGGCTGGGTGATTTTCAGTCTATGAATAGAGAAGAGAGCAATTTCATACATCATATTTTTTCTCAGAAGTCCAAGGACGTTGACTTGGTAAAGAATGTTAATAAATAATAAATAATTAAATGTCAACATAGTACTGTTTAACAATTAGGTATATAGAAATGTTTACTTTCCCAAGAGTGGGAGTGACCTACTGTTATCTACTGGTAAAGATTGGCCTCCTGGCATAGCATACTAAGGTCACTTGACTCTCACTGACAATCTTAATCACATTTTCTAGTTTTTTCCCCAAAATTCACTTTAGAAAAACAGAACAGACTCAATCACCATGCCATTATTTTTAAAAATATGTTTGTACTGATTTTTAGAGAGAGAAGGGAGAAGGATAGAGATAGGAATATCAATGAGAAAGAAACATCGATTGGCTGCCTCCTGCATACCCCCTACTGGGGACTGAGCCTGCAACCCAGGCATGTGACTGGGAATAAAATAGGTGGCCTTGATTCATTGCTTGACGCCCAATCACTGAGCCACACCAGTGGGCACTATGCCATTATTAATATCAGTTTTGTATTCTTAATCCCCTTTTCAAATTAGCATTTTCAATTAAGAAGTGAGAGGTAGTCAATTTTAATTTATTTGTAACATCATAGAAAATTATGTAGGTGATAAAATAGCAAAAAATAAAAAAACTAAAGCAACATTATTCATCCTGCAAACTGCCATTTAACAAAAATTTGAGGTAAATAACTTGTAAAGTATTGGTATACATTTTAAAAGCAAACACCTAAGAATAATATAATTATAAATAGGAAAAATAGATTCTTTGAGGAGAATTTTCTTCATAATACCAAATAACAAAGTGGCAACACACAAAAAAATCTTATCCATTCTTGATCTTGGGAAAAAATTTTTTCTCAGGTAAGTTTCACCTAATTGGGTGAAGAAAAAAAAAATGTGCCCAGTCTCTGATTTTAAATTTGCCAAAATAACAATAAAAATACTACTTATATAAATTAAACCCACAAACTATGTTCTAATATGTCCAACTGAGATAACTATTTAGAACAAAAATAAGGACATTTAATTCTGAAGATTAATAGTTAATGAAAACCGTACTGCAAGGTGAAGCTTCTTTATTAAAATGGGTCAAATAAATAAAGTACGTTTTAAAATTCCAATCGGAAGAACAGAAAAATATAACAAAAATATGCTATGAAATTTAATTGCTAATAGTCTGTTTCAATGTAATGGTAAAGAGAATTCAAAAAAAAAAGGGAGAAAGCACTGTTTACCTACAGTAAAAAAAAATATACTACTTATAATTGTGGAATAGACCTAAAGTACTACAGGATGAAAAATTTTAATGGAAATGTGGTAAAAGTATAATTAAATGCAATGCATAACAGTGACAATTGGGACACATTATTTAATTGATAATCAGAAAACGGTATATTTGGAAACAGATTAAAAGTATTACTGATAAGACCACTGTGATGACCTATGAAGCCTGGAACTCATCACATCTGTATCCTACAAAACAACTAACCTGATTGTCTCTCTTCTCAGCTAAGATATAAGCAATGTCAAGGAGCATTTTATTCCAAAGCCGATAATCATATCTGGCCATAACTGCCTTGTAACTGTCCATGCACATAGTCTTTGAAGCAGAGGGTTAAATGTTCCTGCCCATTTTATCTAGTCCCCAAGACTCGTCCTGCAAAGTGAATAAAAATGATTATCTTTTAATCTACCCCCTCGTACACACATACCATAAAAAAAATAATAAACAAAAAACAAAGAAGAGGGCAAAGATGAGAACAGAAATCCTTGAAAAGATAGATAATTATTACCCACCCTGGAATTAACTTCTCAGCAAGAAGATCTCTATGCTTTGTTGGAGGTTAGGATGACTGATATGTCTCACATTTTATAAAACGGAGTCTTGGGATGTATAATCATTAACACAGACACATGGAAATTACAGTATTATTTTGAAGTAAATTTGAGAATGACTTGAAAAATAGTTTTAGCTTTCAAAAAAGCAGTATAAATATAATGATCTGTTTTTCTTGATATCTGATTTAGAAAAGTAATTTCAAATTCGAATAAGCTAGATAATCATATAAAAATAGCACTTAGGTAAGACAAAATAGAGCGTTCATCAAGCAGTTTTTTAAAAAGCTACTAGAATCATGATCACAGGTAAATTATGCAAAGAGAAAGACAGAAGGAGGACTGGAAGGAGGAGGGAGCTACTCAACTCACAGGGAACAGGAGGAAAGCCATAATTAAAATATATTTAAGTATATGTAAAATTAGGATATGTATATAACCAAAGGAATAAATATAGGGAAAAACAATACAATAATAAAAGTCACCAAAAACATGCCAACGTAAAGGAGAACTGAAATGGACCATCATGAAGTAGGTGATAAAGTAATACTTCATTGACATGGCAGTGAAGAACAAATGCAAATGAATTTTACAGGAAATTCAAACATTTTAAAAGTAAAAATATTCTGCATATTTCTACAATAAATTATTCTTTCTCTTGTTGTCTTAAATAGAGTATGTGGCATATATTTAATCTTTTATACAAAATGCACGTGGCTTTCTGATTAAAGAGAGATAGCATGCCCCTACAGAAGCCCCAGACTGATCTCTGTTTTGATATCTGTAAATCATTTTTTGACCTTTTTTTGTTATGAATTATCATTTCACAATTGTATCAGAAAGACAGCATCTCATGTTTGCTTCTCCTTTTCTCTTGGCTTTGGGAAACCAGATAATTTTTTATAACAGCAACTCTGGCTATTCAGAATCAATTTCTATTTTATGTTTAAGTTTGCTTATTTCCAATCACTGAATTTGCTATCTATCTGACAACCAGCTAAATAGACATTCTATACATAGATAGAAGAAAGTAAGATGAAAAGTAAATAGAAAATATAAAGAAAATAAGAAAAGAAAATACCAAATGCAGAAAATACTAGAAGTCATGAAATTAGAAAAGAATGCATATTATTAAGAATGCATCATTTCTTAATAATAAATAATATATATAGTAACTTTAAAAAAAGATATAACTGGTACAATATCTCATTTTCTTCCTAATAATAAGGAAGAAGATACTCTTAAGACACAGAATAAACTGTCTGATGTCTGTTCTGTACAGAAAATTTTCAACAATAAATTGGTTTTATTTTACCTTTTTAAAGAAGATAAAATTGGGTATAAGGTATTTTCCAAATAATGTGCAAAAGGACACACTTAAAAAACACACCAATACCAACTATGTTTCATGTTGTTTCCTATAGAACTGTAACTAAGAATAATAGATACAAATAGAATAGATTAACTAAACTACACTGAGTAAGGGGGGAGGGGAAGTATGGGTAACTCATAACAGTTAAAGCAAAAAAAAAAAAAGTCAAAATATTAAATCAGGGTTTTGCAGTATGTAGTCACCAATATATCAGCATGACCTAGGAACCTGTTAAACTCTGGGGGTAAGGTCATGCAATCTGTTTCAATAAACCCTGTAGGATGATTCTACTGCATGCTAAAATTTGCAAATCAATGCTTTAATTATATTAAATAAATGAGAAATCTAAATGCCAGATGAACTGTAATGAAGTGAAACTAAATCTGGCTTTGGTTCTGATAATGTATGAGATGAATATAAACAAAGTTACTGCTACTAAAAAAATGTAATTTGGGAGTATTTAAATATCTGTGCATGTACAAACACACACAGACACACTGTGTATCATAGGTGAAAAAGAACAGTCATTTTAGGTAAGCACAGTTAAAGTAGTTGAAGGAAAACAGAATTACAAAATTAACAAAATTACCTTGTTATGGAAAAAAAAAAACAAGGAAAAAAATTGATGTACTTGGCTGAGAAGTTATCTAGATAATTCTAAGATGAAAGTAAAAGTGAAAACTATAAACTATCAGTTATTCAGATTATCTACAGTCTACATAAATGAACTGTTTTGAGAAACATTAAATTCAGATATGCTTAGGATAGTATAGTACTAGAAATAGGAAGAAAGCCAGCTAGGTAGCAATTACCTTATTACAACAGGTGGAATTGTTTTCAATATATAAACAAATAAATATGTACACATTTATGGACAGTAACAATGAGCAATAAAACAATGTAAGTAAAAAAATACTATGAATTTGAAATTTCAACTATTATTATTTGGGGTTATCAAAGAATATGGCCTATTAGAGTCCTAAAATTTCTTTAATTATAAAATAAGAATAAAGGAAAATAAATTCAGAGAGATATTTGTTGACATTTGCCAGAAAATTTTCATTCTCAAGGCTATTAAATGTTAGTTATCAAAATAGGCATATATTTCACCTGCACAGATTAACACAAACCATTCAGATGAATTTGAAAGGGAGAGAAATGATATTTTTCAGCACAGTAATAAATTTAAAGTAATATTTAACGTAAACGTTTAATTAGAATAGAACATATTTAATTAATAAAACTAAATGAAAAGGAAATAAAATGTTGGTTACTCACCAGCAAGGGTGCTTGTATGCCTAAAAGCTCTGACCTGGGAGTCTGACAAACCAGTCAAAAGGGAGATTACTGTGTCCATCATATATTCATCATAAATTATGCTATACTGACACTGTCGAATCAGGACGCCAATAAATTCACAAAAGTTTGAACGAAATTTTTTCCACTGAGGTCCAGGCATGGTAAGGGGATAATCACCACTGTCCTAAAAGGGATAAAAATAACATATTAAATATGACATATAATATCAATTTGAACGTTTATATTTTCCTCCTACCTGTAAAGGGACTTTTTTCTCAAAGTAAATGTAGACAGAAAGTGGAGAAATATTTTTCTAAGTACACAGGTACTTAGACAGCTTTATCTTTTTTGTTTATTTTTATCATCTACAACTAATTCTTAACGTACTCAAAATTATTACTTAGACCCAGTATTTAATTAATTGTTTTAAGCCATTCACCTAAAATAATAGTTCCATTTTATTGCATTTGGGACTTAGTTGAGATAATTTGAAGCAGAAAACAAAAATTATTACAGAAGTTCAGATAAAAGATATTTGCCATTGAATTCAGATCAAAGTATTCATGATACCTATGTTATGCAGCATGTTTCAATTACGTAAATAGAATTATTAACTGAAAATTTTAAAGTATAAACATGTTAGCCCTGGCTGGTGTGGCTCAGTTGGTTAGAGCATTGTCCCCTGCACCAAAAGGTTGCCGGTTCTATCACCGGCATGTTCCGGAGACAGCTAATTGATGTTTCTCTTTCACATGGATGATTTTCTCTCTCTTTCTCTAAAAAACAATAAAAACATATCCTTGGTTGAATTTTTTTTTAAAAAAAGAAAAAGATAAAGGATGGTGAAGAAAGATGGAAAAAGTCTAGGTGTTTGCCCTGAGGTGGAACCAACCATGTACTTACTGTCTACTCATACATTTATTTTGCATGGGACAAACACCTGTGAATCTAAAGTCACTGTTGACCAGACTATCTGCTACTCACAGACAAATGCAGCTTCCTATTATGGTAAAATTATGAACAGTGGGGAAAGATGAATTATTCAGTAAATGATTTTGGTATAACTAGCTGTTCATTATAAAAAACAAGATAGCCCTAGCTGGTTTTGCTCAGTGGATAAAGGATCGGCCTGTGGACCGAAGGGTCCTGGGTTCAATTCCGGTCAAGGACACATGCCCAGATTGCAGGCTCAATCTCAGTAGGGGCATGCAGGAGGCAGCTAATTAATGATTCTTTCTCATCATTGATGTTTCTATCTCTCTCTCCCTCTCCCTCTTGGAAATCAATAAAAATATATATATAAAAAGAAAAAACAAGATATGCATTGCACCTTACACCAAAATAAATCCCTAATGAACCAAAACACTTTAAAATATTCAACCAAAAAAGAAATAGCAGAAAACATGGGAGAATATTCTTAGAGTAGGGAAGTATTTTTCTAAATATAATACAAAAGCCAGAAATTCTAAAAGACCAACAAATTCATCCAAATAAAAGTAATTTTTGTATTACAGAGAGTATTTCTCTTGTTGTTCAGGCCTGCAGGAAATAACCCTTAACTATTGGGGGAAGAGTAAGAAGCCCAGGTCACTTCTCTATATCTTTATCTCCTACAAATCTGATGGGAGGTCAGCAAACCAAGTCACTACACCACAGCACAGGCAAAGAACACCTGCAGCTCGGAGAAGGGTAAAGAAAAAAATCCATTACCTGGGGTAGAAAAGAAAAAACCCTATACCAATACTAAAGGGGTCTACTAGCACTGGGAGAACAGAAACATGGATATGAAAGCTGAGAAAATCTCCCAGTGGCTCTAAGCCAGGGGTGGGCAAACTTTTTGACTCGAGGGCCACAATGGGTTCTTAAACTGGACTGGAGGGCCGGAACAAAAGCATGGATGGAGTGTTTGTGTGAACTAAAATAAATTCAAAGTAAACATCGTTACATAAAAGGGTACGGTCTTTTTTTTTTTTTTAGTTTTATTCATTTCAAACAGGCCGGATCTGGCCCGCGGGCCATAGTTTGCCCACGGCTGCTCTAAGCACACAAGGCATGCTTACAATTTAAGCAAGATTAGGACAGATAATCCACATGCCCTCATTTTAATACAAGTCTACCACTAGGAGGGGCAAAACTGCTCTGTGGCACAGGAGTGCAAAGAGAGCTGAAAGCTGAGGGTGTACCATAAACACTGAAAACAAACAAAACAAAAAAAAGCTCTGGTATCCTAAGCACAACAGTACCAACCACTAGAGAAATCTAAGCTGTGTAGTACACTAAGGATAATGAACACATGCTCAGCTCAATTCCTAACTAGACTGATAATGCATACCTTTTTAATTTTTGTATCACATGCAAATATTGTGATTAAGAGGAAAAACATTTTGGAAAAAGAAAGGAGTCTCCCATATCCACTTCAAGACAGTTTCTTGCTTTATTCTAATACTAGCTATAAATTTCTCCTTGTTACACACTTATACATGCTGTGTAAAAAGAATTGTCTAGTTAATGACAAGTAATAGGTATTGAATACTAGCTCTCTTCACAAAACAGTAATGTCTTCTTTTTAGGAGAGCTAAGAAAACACAATAATAATAAAATAAAGACAATCAAGGCGATGGCCCAGTGACTCAGTTGGTTGGAGTGTTGTCCGATACACCAAAAAATTGCAGGTTCAATTCTGGGTTTGAGCACAAACCTAGGTTGTGGGTCCAATCCCCAGTCAGGGCACATAGCAGAGGGAACTGATAGATGTTTCTCTCTCCCCCCTCTATTCCCGCCCTTCCTCCCTTTCTAAAATAAAATAAAAAAAAAAATATCCTCAGGTGAGGATAAAATAAAAAGATAATCAAGAAGCCTAACTGCCTTATCTACAACTAATATTTAAGTTCTTTGAGGGCAGTCTTGTTATGACACTTTGCACAAGAAATTTTTTAAATAAACTAGTGAAAAAGTAATCCATATAAAATAAGAAACAGGCATAGAAACGTAGAAAAAAGCTTACAGTAGGAAAAACATCAAGTAGAAATCTGTAAGAAAAATAATACAGAACAAACCAAATAGGTCTAGTAAGAAAGCAATTCCCCCAAGTATGTTTAGGCAAATACAAGGGGAGAAATCTCTATGTAGCAAAGTACAATATAGTTTTCACATATATAATCTTGTATTATCAATATACTGTGATGGCTATCCTATCTAATAATAGAGAAACATGGTAATTAGCCATACCTCTGCTACCCTTCCCATTGGCTAATCAGGGCGATATGCAAATTAACTGCCAACCAAGATGGCGGCCGACAACCAGGCAGCTTGAAGCGAACAGGAGACTTTCTTGCTTCAGTGACGGAGGACTCCAACATTCCCCGCCTGCCTTGCCGGCCTCTGAGCTTGCAGTTTAAGAAACATTGTTACAAATATAGAAGCTAAACAAAACCCCAGAATCCTGCTTTCGGCCAGCCAGGCTTCAGCCAGCAGGACCGCAACATTGTTTCAATTATAGAACAAACGCAGATCCCTGCTTTCAGCCAGCCGAGATCTCAGAGCTGGAGTGAGCAGGCCCGCAAAAGTGTTACAATTATAGAACCCAAACAAACCAGATACCTGCTTTCAGCAGCCGAGGCCTCGGGCTGAAGCCAAGCCTCAGAGATAAAGCTGGCCCAGAATAAAAAAGAAAAAGAAAAAAAGGACAGGTTGGGAGCTTCAGTAACCCACCAGCCTGAAAACAGCCCTCAGCCCCTCAACCAGACTGGCCAGGCACCCCAGTGGGGACCCCCACCATGAAGGGTGAGTGACCAGCTGCAAACAGCCATCATCCCCTCACCCAGGCTGGCCAGGCACCCCAGTGGGAACCCCCACCCTGATCCAGGAAACCCTTTAGGGCAAACCAGCCGGCCCCCACCCGTGTACCAGGCCGCTATCCTATATAGTAAAAGGGTAATATGCCTCCCAGCACCGGAATCAGTGGAGCAGCGAGGCCTCCTGGCACCGGGATCAGTGTGATAGGGGGCAGCGACCAAACCCCCTGATCGCCCTGCGGCTCTGTGTGTGACAGGGGGCAGGGCCACAACCTCCCTATCCGCCCTGCTCTGTTCGTGACAGGGGAAGGCACCCCAACACCCTGATCAGCCCTGCTCTGTGCCTCATAGGGGGGAGCTCCCCAACCCCCTGATCGCCTTGCGGCTCTGTGTGTGACAGGGTGTGGCGCCCCAACCCCCTGATTGGCCCCGCTCTGTGTGTGACAGGGTGCGGCGCCCCAACCCCCCCTCCCCCCGCCCCCACGGGCCCTGCTTTGTGTGTGACGGGGTAGAGCCATAACCTCCCCATCAGCCCTGCCCTGAGTGTGACAGTGGCGGCGCCCCAACCCCCTGATCGGCCCTGCCCTGTGGGTGATAGAGGGCGGCTCTGTGTGTGACGAGGTAAAGCCATAACCTCCCCATCGGCCCTGCCCTGACTGTGACAGTGGCGGCGCCCCAACCCCTGATCCGCCCTGCTGTGTGTGTGACAGGGGACAGTGCCACAACTCCCCTATCGGCCCTACTCTGTGGGTGACAGGGGGGAGCTCCTCAACCCCCTGATCAGTCCTGCTCTGTGCGTGACAGGGGGGAGCTCCCCAACCCCCTGATCGGCCCTGCTCTGTGCATGACAGGGTATGGAGCCCCAACCCCCCTGATGGGCCCTGCTCTGTGCGTGACAGGGGGCAGCGCCCCAACCCCCTGATTGGTCCTGCTCTGTGCGTGACGGGGTGGTGCCGCAATCTCCCTATCGACCCAGCCTTGAGTGTGACAAGCGGCGGTGCCCCAACCCCCCAATCAGCCCTACCCTGAGCGTGACTAGGGGTGGCATCGCAACCTCCTGATCCGCCCTGCTCTGTGCATGACAGGGGGTGGCGCCCCAACTCCCCAATTGGTCCTGCTCTGAGCCCGACCAGGGGCTGCACCTAGGGATTGGGCCTGCCCTCTGCCACCCAGGAGCAGGCCTAAGCCATCAGGTCTTTATCTCCTGAGGGGTCCCAGACTGCAAGAAGGCACAGGCCGGGCTGAGGGACACCCCCCTCCCCCCCTGAGTGCACAAATTTTTGTGCACCAGGCCTCTAGTCTATAATAAAAGCCTAATATGCTAAGTGTCTGATTGTCCATTCAACCAATCAAAGTGCAATATGCTCATGATATGCCAAGGCCACTCAAT